TACTAGGTTTGATGATGAAACATCGCTCGAGATATTTAGCCAGCGTGGAGTAATTCCACCCTACTAGATAAATGCTAACCGAATCTTCCACGCGTTCCGTTTTTGTATCATGGAGTGAGTAGGATTGCTACCGGAACCTACTCTATCACACTCTACAGTCTCTCGCTGGAGTTCAGATCTACGATCATTTGATTGTGGATCTCTCTCGTGTGATTAGTTCATAGCTTTCTAATCCTCTCATAACTTTCATTCTCTCAAACTCAAATAACTCGAAAGATCTTTACAACAGCTTTTAGCGTAGTGTATTTTGTTAACAAACACAGTAGCTTTCAGCTACCCTCACCATATTCCTTCACCATTCTCTCTTCTTGTGACTAGAGCAGTCATTGAGAACCCTGTCTCAATGACTATTCACGAGAGACTCAGTCATGAGTCGAACTCAAACCCTATCTAGGATCGAGTCGCGAATAAGGCTAAGAGCCGTGTATTGCAACACGGACAGACGCTGGAACCCCAAGGTTCGAGAACTTTTGGTCATGACCCTGCTCCTTCGATACAATGAATTCTGTGAAATCCTGGAGTCACACCCGCTTGCAATGCTTGTTGAAGACGATTACCACCCAGACTCATCCCAGACGAGCCGCCACTTTACTAGCTCCACGGTCCGAGACAACCCCTTCCTTTGTCTCGTCCACCAGGCGATAGAGAAAGTTGATGCGGGAGACTGGCTGTTCGATAAGTGCCGAGCAGCAGCACGCCCGGGGAACCCCCCGTCCGAGTTTCCACGCCCCGCAGCGTGGAAACTCGAACCCTGATGGGTTCTCGCAACTATGACCCTAATCATGGTTGCCGAGAGGACCATCTCACAATTTGCAAAATTAATTCCCACGCTCCTCACCTACAACTCAAGTACATCTCTACATCTCGCAGGTCATCACCTGCGTTCCGAAATTGGATACCCCACACGATGATGCACCGCATCAGCTCCTCAATGCCTCTCGAACAAGATTACCCTTCAGGCAACGACGCCCGTCCAAGACCTCATTTGGCAAGATCGACAGCGGCAACCATGAATCACTAAAGCCAGCGACCTAGCCAAGATCAGCCATTGAACTGCCGACCGCAAGAAGGTTGTCTCTCTCTCAGCTCACAATTCTTCATTCAGCCGACGCTGGAAGCAAGAACCTAGATTAGATTAACCCATCTCTCCCTCCCTGGTTGCACAACTGAAGGCTGTCCCGTGGAACATCACATTCCCGGGACTCCCTTCCGCCGTGTGGGATCCATCCGGGACTCCCCAGTCCCGAATGGTACCCCGGGGACTGGAGACAGTCGGCTCAGTAAATAGCCGAGTCTCTCCACTCACCTAATCCTCTACTAGTCGTGCCTAGCTGCTCTGGGCGAGCGCAGCTTGTCTGCGCTCGGTGTCGAGCAGCAGCACGCCTGGGGAACCCCCCGTTCGAGTTTCCACGCCCTGCAGCGTGGAAACTCGAACCCTGATGGGTTCTCGCAACTATGACCCTAATCATGGTTGCCGAGAGGACCATCTCACAATTTGCAAAATTAATTCCCACGCTCCTCACCTACAACTCAAGTACATCTCTACATCTCGAAGGTCATCACCTGCGTTCCGAAATTGGATACCCCACATGATGATGCACCGCATCAGCTTCTCAATGCCTCTCGAACAAGATTACCCTTAAGGCAACGACGCCCGTCCAAGACCACATTTGGCAAGATCGACAGCGGCAACTATGAATCACTAAATCCAGCGACCTAGCCAAGATCAGCCATTGAACTGCCGACCGCAAGAAGGTTGTCTCTCTCTCAGCTCACAATTCTTCATTCAGGCGACGCTGGAAGCAAGAACCTAAATTAGATTAATCTCTTGCGCCGGCATCAGATTTCGTATCTTTTCGACCCTCACCATGGCCAGCTCCAATTTTTCGGATCTCGTCTCTCGTGCAGCGGCATGGGAAGTGCACGCTCCAAATTACGCCGATATCCTTACGGCTGTGGGTGGCGCTTCGGCTGCCAATCGTGATGTGGCCTCTCGCGCCATGAGCCAACTTTGCCTTCGCTCTCCTGTCACCTTTGGTTTCATCCTCCAAAATGATGAGACGAATGTCTACATTGGACACTCACTCTACGCTTATCCCGTGAATCCGAGTCAAGCCTCTCCTTACGACAATCTATATGCTATCGTGGTGGGGAACGATCTTCGAAGCGCAATCACGGTGGTCCTCCCCATGTCTGCCTTCGAGCGTACTGCCAACATTGCTTGCCACAACATGACAATTATTGATGGAGGAACCATGTTCGCTCACGCCCCTGCTCCCGTACTGCACAGTGGGCCCCACGGCGGTGGTGTGGTCCCAGACACTGATGTCTTCCGCGTCCGTCGCGTCATGCCTCTGCCGTCCTATCTCTCTGAAGCTATCCTCGCGGCCCGTCCCAAAGGGCAGTACAGTCTTCCCCAGTTCCGTGCGGAAGTCCTCACTCCTGAGATGACCAACGGTGATGCAGCGCGACAAGCTGCCATCGCCCCCTTGGTCCAGTGGTTCCGTGCCTGCTGCATGCTGACCACTGGAGGTCATACCTCTACCAGTAATGACACTGCCAACGTGGCCGCACCCATTAGCACTAACGCTCTCCAACGAAGCACCAACCGGGTGCTCTCTCCCTACCTTGCCGCACTTGGCACGGTAGGTCCGGGTCTGACCAACACAACTTTCAATGCCGGGATCACGAACCTACGTGACACACTGGAGGCCACCGTTGAACAACAACTTCAATACGACCGTGAGAAGAGCAACAAGACCTTTACGGACAAATTCGGGGCCGCCCTGGCCACTCGTGTCCACAACCTCTGCAACGTGGTGGATGACGCTCACCTTCCAGTCATTCACCGTCTGCTCGCGAAGTCCCCTAAAGGGAACGAACATGGGATCCTACAGGCTCAACTGGATGAACACACTCAGGCCTCAGCGCTACCCATCAACCTCGCCAACAAGCCCCTCTCGCGGCGAGCGACAAGCCCTCATGGCGTTTGAGCGACCACAGCAGTAGCAACAGCTGCAGTAGTACATGTAGTAGCAACAGCGACAACAGTAGCAGCGACAACAACCAAGAGTAGTAGTAGCAACAGCAACAACAACCAAAAAGCGACCGACTGGTACGGCTGGTAGTGGGTTTGTTGTGAGGGTTGTTGTTGACCGGTACTGCCGAGTAATATCCACGGTAAACTGTCATCGTTCCTGCTTTCCCATCAAAATTTGCAAAGCAATTCGGAGTACTGAAATGTTGATAGTAGAATCAGTCGTGAATTAATCTCAACTTCAACTCGACGTTGAATCACTACTGGAGGCTACACGAATAATTGGAGCATGGTTCCAGCGGGATACCCATCGCCTTCTATCCTAAAAGCATAGCAATGGTAATCGGCACGCATAACTGTCTTGGCTGTTTCAGTTTTTCCTTGGTTCTCCGTGCTTTCATCGAGTTAACTTGCCTCCAAGAGCCCCACCACGTCCAGACCTTAGGCCGATCCACACAGTTGGCGAGTACGAAACTCCGAGGTTTAACACTCGTGTTCGGAATTCGCACCGGCACACACAGTCAACGAAAACGAGAACGAAACATGACTTAAATGGGACTAACCCTGACAAGACTAGGACTAAACGAACCAATGAAATCAATTATAGGCAGTGACTTATCATTTCTTTCGCACAAAAAGAAACGGCGAAGCCAATGGAAGATAGATAGCTAGCTAGATAGTGGACGTCGTTGTGGCATTGATTGAGTGGAGAGGACGTGATAAAGGAAGTCACCATGGCGTCGGTTCCTGCTATCGTGAAGCAGGAAATCATCAATGTCATTGCCATACATGGGAGGGAGACAGTTTACCAATCCAGGTCTGAAGGAGCGACAAAAGAGCAACAGTATGCCATGCTGAACAACTCGTATCATGGAGCAGAGAACCATATGCCTCTTCTAGAGACATTCCTTTATGGGAGACCTCCTTACAACGTTGCTTTCACCAGCCATGACATTCAAAACAATAGAGAGGGAAATGACATTAGGAAGAATTTGCGCCAAGAATTCATGCTAGAGCTCAAGGACGTCCTACACTGTCAGACCGGACAGAGTTACATGGTCCATGAGAGAGGCTTTACCAAAGAAGCTCTCATGTACTCCACAGGGACAAGACTCATAGACGGTCGCAATCTTACTGACCGCGCAGGAAAAGTTCAAGCAAACTACAAGCACGCTCACAGGTTCTTCCTCCAGTACAATGACAACAACAAAGAACAAGACAATCCATCTGGGAAAAAGATCGAAGATATGCTTCTCTATGTTCGAAAGAAGATGTTTGCGTTTCTAAAAGGATGCAGGGATACCAGCGGCTTAAAGAATAAGAAAGATCAGGGCAAGGTCTATCTGGAGGAAGACATGCCATCGGGATATCTATTTACAGGATACTTCGCCTTTGTTCTATTGGACCAATGCCGCTCACTAAGCTTTCCTTGTCTGCCCTCAATCCCGACAATGAAGGAATCGAAAAGAAAGGAAGGAAAACAGCCAGAAAGGAAGAAGCCGAAGAAAAGAAAGCGCAACGTGAAGCAGGAATTGGAGGGTACATTCCTCCAGAGTATGTGCGCGGTGTTCCCCTTCAAGCAAAGGCAAATGCTGCTCTTATGGAACAGAGGCAGTGGCAGGAAGAACGAACACATGCCCGTGATTCCTGGTTCATTGCTAGTACTGAATACAGTCAGTTGCGCAAGGAACTGCAAGATGTTAAGAAAGAGATCGCAGATTGTGACAGTGGCGATGACGAGGAGCTTGCTTCTTTAAAGCAATGGAAATCGGACGTTTTGGAACAGATGGCAACTCTTCGCCAACACAAGAAAGTTCTGCAGAAGCGCAATAGTGAGTTCCTTTTGGATGACAAACGCCCAAAGAAGAATGCCGTCACTGCTTTCATGCAGCAAGTAGGGACGTTCAATGGTCAAACAGTGGCATCTGCTGCGAAAGTACCACAAACGGTGGAAGAACGCACCAATAAAGATGATGCAAGCAGTCTGGGCCAGAACAGCGCACCAAGAAAAGAAGTTGCCAATGCTAGAGATAATGGGAAATTGCCTGAACCCGAACGTCTTTCCTACAATGAAACCCCCACTTCCCAGCAAGCCAAAGGAGATGTGATCAATCTGGAAGATTCGCAGAGTCAGAATGAAGGTTTGTCGAATTCCACAAGGCGACTTCTGAATTCCTGGTAAGACAATGAATTAATGTAGATTTGCTCCATCATCATCAACTTCCGTGCCACCAGCGCCATCATCGACACCTTCTTCCACATTGCCATCAACCAAAGCCCGCACTGTTTCATCTGATTCCAGCTCATGTTGTCGCGATCCAAATTGTTGCATTTGTTCTTCACCCAACCGCTGCAGCGCGAAGGGGGTGAATCTGAGATCATCTGTCTCATTTAATCCAATCTCCCCATTCCATTGTTCGGACAAACCATCAACTTGCAGAAGCATATTGTGCAAGGCACAGCAGGTCAACCAGATTCTGTCAGCAGCTGTTTCGCCATGAAGGCGGATGCCAGTCTTGAGTACTCTCCAGCGACCTTTGAGAATTCCAAAGACGCATTCTACATCCTTCCTCATAGACTCGATGAATTCTGAGAGTCTCTGTTGTGGTCGGTACATATCAGATTTGCCAGGGGCTTGTGTACAGGACCAGCGATGGTACCCATTGTCAACAATCCACCATGCACCCTTGTACTTAGTGCGTTTGATCACCGACTCATTGTTGTTTTCTGTTGAACGTTCCAGTAGAAAGAATGTAACATCCTGTAAAATGGATCCTTCGTGGATTCTGTTCAAGAAACTGTCATAATACGCAAGCGTCTTATCATTCCATCTAGAACGGTGGCCTTTGGTGGTGTGAAGGATCTGCTTTCGATGGTTGGTGGATAGATTGTACGTTCTTGCAGGGTGGTTTTGCTTAAATCCAATGTGCGATTGCTTCAGGTTGTGGGTGCAGTTCCACAAAATTACGTTCGTTGCATCTGTAGAGAAGCCGCAACCAGGCAAACCTGCCATAGCAAATTCATGCTGATGTGTTTGGAATTCTTCTGCTGTTTGGGGAGCGATAGCGTATTCTGGATAAAGGGTATCTTCTCCGTATTGTATGAAGCGATGGAAAAACCTTCTGTGGGTCTCTTCACTTATCGCGGTTGCTTCTTCCAGGTCATCGAAAGTATGGCCCCGTCCAAGATATCGTAGTGACCCAAGTAGGAGTAGTCCGATGGGGGATGGAGGTGTTTTGGCACTGTTCCTTCTTTGGTACTGGCTAAAGAAGCCACTCTCCTTGACCTTTTTAAGAAAGTCGACAAAGCAGGGGTATGGCATTCTGAAGCGACGCCTGAATTTCTTACTGAATTTCTTAGTTTGGAGAACACAGTCAGGCTTGTCGATGTAGAAGATAAACCATGCTGTTTGTTGTGGAGTTAGGAACACAATTCTCCCTTCAGAGTCCAGCCGGTATGGCCGCAATGTTTTCCCTCTTTTTCTAGGACGTTTGGACGACGTTGTATTTGATGATGTGCTTTGGTCATCTATGCCAGCAGAAGCAGCGGATACAATGTCTTCTTCCATACCGGCTAATGCCTTTCGCTTCCTTGTCATCTCTCCATAAGCGGAGGCCATGTCCAGCCCATCTAGACCATCCTCTAGAAGATTGTCATCTGCTTTTGATTCAATAAGACAACCAATAGCACATTCGACGAGACTGCAAGGTTTCCCATCAGTTTGTCTAGCTAGATAGCGATTGACACTGTTGGTGGAAATCTCAGCAGTTGACATAGGAGCTACAAAGTCGATACCATACAATTCTCTCGAAGGATGCCTATTGCAATTGGTGGGATGCCAGCAGAAGACTAAAAAAACGGTCAGTTGTGACTAGCTATTGGCGATTTGGCGACTCTCGGGGCCTCCCGAAACAGAGGGGCCAGTTTCGCCAGATTTGCTTTGGCCCGAAGTTGGGCTGGTGTGCTGACGTGGCCTCCATGCGCTCTGATTGGCTCTCGCACTTTCGGAGTTTCGTACTCGTCAACTGAGTGGATCGGCCTTAGAAGGATACATCTTTAACTATGATGGCGGCAAGACGCTCTCGACTTGGCGAATTACAAGTTACAAGGTGCCAAGTACCGGTGTACACATTCTGAAGACACGATTGAATGATTCTATTTGCACCTACAATAATTCCTTCGTAGCTCTAGTTTAAAGTCGGTACTAGAGTGGAGCCAACGGTGTGGTCCAGAAGAATGCCGCTGGCCGTCTACCTAGGCTGAGAAGAGAGTGACGACTTGTTCTGGTGTGTGGCCCAAGAATTTAACAT